AAAAGAAAGGAGGCAATTTAAATGCTCTTCCATGTCTCTTTTTTAGAAAAACTAAAAAAGAGACATGGATATTACAAAATTTTTCAAAAAAATTAAAATTAAAAGAAATTAAAAATTTTGAGTTGGAGCTATAATTTCTACTGAATTATTCACATCTCTTTTGTGAAAAAGAATGTGGATATTATGAGATTTTGCAACCAAAAAAAAGTAAATAATAATATCACATTACTCTTAATAAAAAATGACTTGATTAAGTTAATAGAAAATACCAATTTAATTAATAAAACTTTTAAAAATAAAATCTATGTCTTTTTTTATAAGAAAATGACGTAGATATTAAAATTGATATTTTCAATTTAATCACTCAAATTTACGTCCCATTTTAAAAAAAGTGGACATTTATAAGCTTAAATATTCAGTCTAAATATTTATCTTCCTGTAAAATGAATATTCTTCTTTTTAACTCCTCCATTTGCCTTTTTTCTTTTTTATTATAATAATTTTTATTCTCAAATTATTATTCTAATAATAAAATTTTTTTAACTATCAATCTTATTATTATTTTATAAACTCAAATCCACGTCCCTTTTTACATAAAAGTGATGTGGATTAGCTTCTAATTATTAGAACTTTTAAAAATAAATTTCACATCCTTTTTATATAAAAGCATTTAGATAATTTTAATTTTAAAATTTATAATTTAATTAATCACTTAAATTCACATCCCATCTAGTCAAAAAAGGGTCATGGATAAGCTTAAATTATATTAAAATTTTTTAGTATAAAATTCATGTCCTTTCTTCATGAAAATAGATGTGAATTTTTTATATTATAAGTTTTTGGATTTCAGTCATGCAATTCACATTTATTTTGGACATTGATTATTTAAATATAAATTATAATTCTTAATTTATTAAACTATTAAATTCACGTCTTTTTATATTAAAAAGAAACATAAATTAGTTTTCTACGTCTGTTTTTAACATAAGAGACGTGGATTAACATAATTTATTTTCAAATATCCACATCCTAAGTTTAAAAAAATGACATAAATATTATTTTTTATGTCACTTTTTATTAAAAGTGATGTAGATATTTTAATCACTAAGCATTTATTTACAGAATTGTCACCACCTTTTTTTTTTATGTCACTTTATTAAAAAGTGATGTAAATTGAGGGAAGTAAATTGTGTTTTTGCAAATAAAGTTGGGAATAAGGGTTGGTAAATAAGGGCTTGAGTTTGAAAAATTGAAGTATTTTAGGAAATTAGGCTTTAAAGTCAAACTTTAATCAAACTTTAATAAGCCTTGAAAAAAAGGATTGGGCTAAGCAACTTTGCTAGCTCTATTTCCCTTTTTTCTTTTCCTTATTTCAATATAATGCACCGTTGGTTAGGCACATAAATGAAAACCTTAAACACACTCTTCAACTCTACAAATCTGCTCTCCCTCTTAGCCTCTCCTCACGATCTCAGCTTTTCCTCCCTCTGGCTCTCAATCTTGACAAGGACTCACAGTGCTCTCACATCTCATTGTATTTATTGGATTTGATAAAATTGATTTGGAGCAAAAAAAAAATTATTTGAAAAATACATATTAAATGTGGATATTTAGTATGTATAGTCAATTTATAAAAAAATTAATATTAAATGTGAATAATTTATATTAAATCTACTGTCCAGAGTATATTTGTTTGGATAGTTATTTTATAAAAAAAATTAAGTTATCAATTTGGACCATTAATATTAAATTTAGACTATCTAAATTGGTAACTAGATTTAGTTAAAAATTTTACAATTTTTTATTTTTTAAAAAGGGTTCAGGTGCTCTTTAAACTCTTGAAGTTTTTTTCAATGAGTAATTTTACCCCTATACTAATAAGTAAGATAATTTTATTCTGAACTATTTTTTTTGGAGGAGCAAAAAAATCCTTTTTAACAAGATGCTTGCCTTACTTAATAGCACAAGGATAAAATTGCTCTTGAAAAGAGTTTAAGAATAAAAATATATCTTAATCTTTTTTCAAAAAATAAAACATTAAATCTATACTATTTAGATTATCTAGATTTTGTTGCAGGTGCAATAAAGCCTTAAAAGGAGTGGGGTTTCAGAGGAGCAAAGTCGAGTCCGCATGTATATAGTAAAAGATACTTAAATAGGCCTTCAAAGGGACAAAGTCGAGTCCATATATATATAGCAAAAGATACTTAAACCAATTTGAAAAATGACAGCCTGTTAAATGGCATTTATATTTTTTGAAAAATTAATTTTTACAATTATCGGACGTGAGGATGTCTTGAATAACAAACAAAAATGGTTAAACCAATAAATTGTTTGGCCCATCAATCCAATTTTGAATCCTTGGTATATGTAATTTGTGAGATTGAGAATCTCCCACCCATCATATCTCACCTCATTCTTAACTTAAAAATGTAAAGTAAGCTTTTAGCCAAAATAAAAAAAGTAAAATAAAGTTAGATCTAGTGAAAAGATTAGTTACCTATAAGTAATAACATATAATGTGTTCAACCAAAATTTAAAATATGATAATTGCCTTGTACCCAGTTAAATAATAATTTATAAAGATTCCTTTTTTTTTTGCCCTTCCTTGAAATAAAAAAGGTAAGACGGATTAAAATAAAAAAAATATCTATGGTTTTTCCCTCATGTGAAGCGTATAATTATAATTTTCTAGATTTTGGCCCGTTTGAAACCGAATTGTTAACACATCAAATTATATATAAAAGAGAATACAATTATATTTACAAAATATGAAATATAATTTTTTGAGCAAAATAAAATATGAAATATAACTTGTAAATTAAATATTTTTACTTGTAATTATGAAGTTGTGATTGTAAGTGAAGAATAAATATAATTTCATTTTATTATTTATAAATACAAAAAAACTTGTGAATTATAATTTATATTAAAAAAATCGAAATTTCAGTAATACTAAGTAAAGAATAAACATAATTTCAATTTATTAAATATAAAACACGAAATTATGTATTTGGGAAAATTACGTAAAAAGTCTTGTGTGAGAGGGTTACCCGCTGCAAGGGAGACGAGTGGTTGACAGCAGATAGCAGACACAAAAGCTGGGTCCACAAATTGAAGGAAGCCATTCCCACACGTAGAGGGGAAGAGGATGTCTCCATTTTTCTTCCCTCCATTTTCCTCTATTTTCTCCCATCACCTTTGGATTAAACCTTTTCAATAGTTTAGATTTAATTTTAAAAAAATTGTTATTTTAATTTTATATAAAATATATAAATAAAATATTATACTTTTAAATGATTTAGATTAAACTTTAATAATTTAAATTTATTTATACACCTTTTTATAAAATAAAATAATAATTTTATTAAAGCTTCAATCTGAACCGTTAAATTTTTGATCCAAAGGTGATGGGAGGGAAATGGAGGGAAATGGAGGGAAGGGAAATGGAGACACCCTCTTCCCCACGTAGAGCCGATTCGGGCTAAGCGTCACGAGTTAGTTTAAATTAGCCTGAAAAATTTTAAAATTGAGTTTAAAAAAAAGATATTTTTTATATTCAGGCCTATTCAAGTCAGCTCGAATAGGCTAGAAAAAATTCAGGCTAAGTTTGATCGGGTTCGGGTTTGGCTCGAATACCCGAATAAAACAATTATATTTTAAAAAATATATAAAATATAATAAATATTAGTTAATTCTTTAAGTTTTAGATCATTTATACTAAAATACCATATATTTGAGTTCTAAACATCATTTAAGTATTAAAAAATATATTTAATTTTAAAGTAAAAAAATAATTTTAAAAATTAAATTTTGATATTCGAGCCACCCGAAATTCGAAAAAATTTAGGTTGTATTTGACTATTCAGACTTCTCAAAAAGTCGGGCCTTTTTGATACAGACCTATTCGAGCCGGGTCCAGTGTGTCCGAATATCTGGCTCTACCCACACGAGTCCAAAAGATGAAAGTGTCTCCCAATAACATCGTGGAGAACTTTTCCAAAATGTAAAAAGCTTATCGAAACCTATGCGGACGATTATTCCGAATATCTATCTTTAGTTCGTGGAAGCCTGTGTTCACTGTTCCCTTCCTCTTTCACGCCCAGGTTAGTGCCTCCTTGTCAAAGCATTAATTTTTTAAATTACGGAAAAGGACCCCATCCTTATTTGTTGTGATTTTCCCTTATTACTACGACGGCTGCTGCTGCTGCGTTTCCATGGCAGTCCTAATCCTCTACTCAAGCATGTGTCTTAGTAGTATATCTTATGATTGTGCCTTGACGGATGGTAATATCTACGTTTTTAATATAATGGGTGGTCGAGACGGAGCAATTGTGTAAATATGAAGATTTTACCCCGTGTTTCTCCAATGAATAGGAAGAAACATGGAATAAAGCAAGTGGGCATTGGAACGAGTTGTTCACATGAGGTGGTTATGGTAAATGAGAAGAGAAGAGAAAAAGTGTCATCTGAAGAAGTTATGAGCGTTCTCAAGTCGATGTCGGAACCTAATTCTGCTCTTTCCTACTTTAACTCAGTTGCCCAGTTGCCTAATTTTGTGCATACGACCGAAGCGTGCAATTACATGCTTGAGTTCTTAAGGATTCACTGTAGGATTGGGGATATGGCTTTTGTCTTCGACTTGATGCAAAAGCGGATTGTCAAGAGAAATTTGAATACATACTCGATCATTTTTGGAGCTCTTTCTGTCAAAGGGGGGATTTGGCCAGCACCATTTGCACTTGGAAAAATGAGGAAAGCTGGGTTTGTCTTGAATGCATATTCATTTAACGGACTGATCCATTTATTGCTCCAATCTGGCTCTTGTAGGTAGGCTTTGGAGGTTTATGGAAGAATTGTCACAGAAGAAATAAAGCCTAGCATAAAGACCTGCTCAGCACTAATGGTAGCCTTGGGGAAGAGAAAGGATACTGGTACCATAATGGGTTTATTGGAAGGGATGGAAACGTTGGGTTTGAAGCCAAATATTTTTTACATATACTATATGTATTATAGTGCTTGGGAGAGCTGGGAAAATTGTCGATGCCTATGGGATTTTGAAGAAAATGGAAGATGATGGCTGTGGACCAGATGTTGTTACTTACACAGTTCTAATTGATGCGCTTTATGCTGCAGGGAAACTTGATAATGCCACGGAGTTATATACTAAGATGAGAACTAGCAGTCACAAGCCTGATCGAATAACCTACACTGCCTTAAGGGACAAGCTCAGTGACTATGGTGACTCGGGTGCAGTGAAAAAACTCTGGAGTGAGATGGAAGCTGAAGGTTATGCTCCTGACGTGGCTGCTTATACCATACTTATTGATGCTTTATGCAAATCTGGGAATGTTGATCAGGCTTTTGCTATGTTGGATGTCATGAGTACTAAAGGAAATTTTCCAAATCTTCATACTTACAACACTAATATCAGGACTTCTGCGGTTGAGAAGGTTGGATGAGGCATTGGAGCTTTTCAACGATATGAAATCTTTGGGTGTTGAACCTACTGCCTATACATATGTTCTTTTCATTGATTATTATGGAAAGTCTGGTGCTCCTGAAAATGCTCTTGACACTTATACGAAAATGAAATGTAGTGGAATTTTGCCAAGTATAGTAGCTTCTAATGCTTCTTTATATAGTTTTGCTAAAATGGGTTGGGATTAGAGAAGCAAAGGAAATATTCAGTGAGATTCAAAATTGTGGACTTGCTCCAGATACCTATAATACAATGATGAAGTGCTATAGCAAAGTGGGGCAAATAGATGAAGCCTTAAAGCTTCTGGTTGAAATGATGGGCAATGGGTGTGAGCCTGATGTAATTACAGTCAATTCTTTAATTGACACACTTTACAAGGCTGATCAGGGTGATGAGGCATGGGAAATGTTTGGGAGAATGAATGATATGAAGCTTGTTCGCACAGTTGTGACATACAACACTTTACTTGCTGGATTGGGGAAAGAGGGAAAGCTTCAAAAGGCACTTGAATTGTTTGAAAGTATGACAGAATGTGGATATCCCCCAAACATAGTAACTTTTAACACAATCCTTGATTGTCTTTGCTAGAATAACGTGATTGATTTGGCCTTGAAGATGCTGTATGAAATGACAAGAATTGCCTTCCTCATGTTCTGACTTATAACTCCATCATCTGATCAAAGAAGATAGAACAGATGGTGCGTTCTGATTTTACCATCAGATGAAGAAATTTCTATACCCTGACGAAGTAACTCTGTGCACCCTTCTTCCTGGTGTTTTGAGGCATGGGAGGTAAGATTGTCATGTAATTCACACACAAGGTTTGTTTACAGACATGCAAACAATTCTGGGAAGAGTTAATGGATGCTATTCTAATTCAAACCAAACTAAATTAGAAAAAGCCATTTTATTTGCTGAAAAGTTGGTATGCAATTCGATTTGCCAAAATGACTATAGTTTTACCACTAGTCAGAGTACTGTGTAAGCAAAACAAGGCCATAGATGCTCAAAATTTATTTGACAAATTCACAAAAGCCTTGGGAATTCACCCAACCTTGGAAACATATAATTGCTTGATGGATGGACTTTTGGGATGTAATATCAATGAAAAAGCCTGGGATCTTTATGCTGAGATGAAAAATATTGATTGTGGGCCAGATATTTTTACCTATAACTTGTTGCTTGATGCTCTTGGGAAATCCTGGAAGATTGATGAACTTTTTGAGCTTTACAAGGAGATGCTTTCTAGGGGTTGCAAGCTTAATGCAGTAACCCATAATATTATCATTTCTGCCCTTGTGAAATCTAATAGCTTGAACAAAGCATTAGATGTATCCTACGATCTTGTAAGTGCTGATTTCTCTCCCACTCCTTGTACATATGGCCCTCTTATAGATGGTCTTTTGAAGGCTGGAAGGTTGGAGGAAGTGATGCAACTCTTTGATGATATGACAGACTACCAATGTGAGCCAAACTGTGCAATTTACAATATTCTTATTAATGGATTTGGGAAAGCAGGTAAAATTGGAATAGCGTGTGATTTGTTCAAAAGGATGGTTAAAGAAGGAATAAGACCTGATTTGAAGTCTTACACCATTCTTGTAGAGCGCCTGTGCATGGTAGGTAGAATTGATGATGCTCTGCACTACTTTGAGGAACTAAAGCTAATTGGCCTTGATCCTGACTCAGTTTCTTACAATCTTATCATCAATGGTCTTGGAAGGTCGCGTAGGTTGGAGGATGCTGTTTCTCTTCAGTGAAATGAAGAGTAGGGGCATCACTCCTGATCTTTACACATACAGTTCACTGATTCTTAATTTCAGGTTGGTTGGTATGGTGGACCAAGCGGGAATGATTTATGAAGAACTACTATAAGCGGATCTTGAACCTAATCACTTACAATGCTCTCGTTCAAGGATATAGTATCTCAGGCAATTCAGACCAGGCCTTTGCAGTGTACAAGAAGATGATGGTTGGGAGATGCAGCACTAATTCAGGAATATATGCTCAGCTTCCTAATCAATGCTGACTTTTTATCACATGGAGTCATTTGTTATCTGTGTCATTGTGTATATCTTCGATGGGGCCATGTGAGGTAACTATAACTTCCATTTTTCTTGAGAGACCCAATATCGTTCGAATGATATTGCAATCAAAGCTTATAATTGGTTTACTCCAGGCATTATGACTTGCCTCCACAATCTCGAGGACTATATGTATATGACTTCATTCAGGCAATACCTCAACAATTTTCAGTACTTGTCAATCAAATTGAACCGAGTATTCAACCCTTGCAGAATGTAGTTTTTGCCTTCCAAGCTGGAATACATGTTTGCAATTGTTTCTATTCAATCAGTAATTTTGGTGACTGCAGACCTACACTCCCAAGCTATTTCTAGTTGTCCATGTGGCCTTCATCTTGCATACTTGGAGGAGGAACAAACTGTCACGAGATACATCACATGAAGGCTCAAAATAATAAAGTCTCTGAAAAAGATGTGGTTATTCATATTGACCAAATAAGTACAGCCCCTAAAGTTCTTGGCCAAAGATTGTTGATCTTCTTCGTATGTATTTCTACTTCAGATGAACAATTTGTGGACACAATTCGAAATTGTTAAATAGCATGTAATTAGAGAGTTGAGTTGAATGGCAAAATTACAAGCTTTAGGAATAATTAAATATAAGTTGACA